AGTGAGGGGCCCAAAACTGAACACAGTATTCGAGGTGCGGCCTCACCAGGGCCGAGTACAGGGGCACAATCACTTCCCTACTCCTGCTGGCCACACTATTTCTGATACAGGCCAGGATGCCATTGGCCTTCTTGGCCGCCTGGGCACACTGCCGGCTCATGTTCAGCCGGCTGTCGACCAACACCCCCAGGTCCTTCTCTGCTGGGCAGCTTTCCAGCCACTCTTCCCCAAGCCTGTAGCGCTGCATGTAATACTGCATGTAATGCTGTAATACTAAATCCCATCATTCAATGATATTATTTTTCACGAGAGTCAAATCTACTGAAATGTTTATTTTGGCCAAAATCCTTTCCATCTTGATTCTACTACATACATAGGTACACAATTTGCAGAGTAGAAAACGGTATGATTCTGTCATTGGAAACAAAAAAGTCTAACCAGGAGCAGCGTCCATCTTTTTATCCAGCTCCAACTACTATGGAAATCCAAACATCACAGAAACAAACATGATCTTGAGAAGTATTTGCTAACTTAGGTCCACTTTAGCTGCACTAAAGTGCAGCTTATTATGCCAGCCCTATGTGGTTTAGTGCAGCTTATTATGCCAGCCCTATGTGGTGGTTGCCATCATGCAGTGGTGCCAGAACTACAAAAGGTTTAGTCCTACTAAAGTGAGAATTTCAGACTACAACTTATAATTTATAACCTCATCCTAAGAGCAGCAGATCACTTTTTAAAAAAATTTAAAAACTCTTTGCAAAGTGTAGTTTTGGTGTGGACTGGTAAATTTATTCCACTCCCATTTCTCTATTTCTTTTCCTAACCAAAATTCTGGCAGTTGACAACAAAGACAGTATTTGGGTGAGATGCCCAGGTTAAAACAAGAAACAACTACGAAAGAAATTTAATTTTTGACCATGATATATCTGATTCTATTAAAAGAACACTGAACTTGAGAAAACCTCTGTGAGCAAGTCTTGTCCCCACAGTCAGTCAACTATGTACATTTTTTTAATGGCTGAGGGTCCACTGACCACTCACATTTGTTAACTTACAAATCAAGCCACAACACATTTCCCACCATACTTGTAATAAACTTAAGCACTAACAGCAAGATCAACAGCTAAAATGAAACTGCAACAAGGAGAGAGCAGGATCGATCAATAACAGTGACAGTTAGCAATGGCCAATGTCACAACACAGAAACATAACCCTTCCAAGCATAGACAAAACCAAATGACACTAAAATTATTACATCCTAATCTCTCTTTCTCAGAGCAAGGTGGCGATACCTACACCTTTGTGCTCTGGTGATGAAAAGCAGGATACATTCCCTCTTTTCATTCAACTTCCTTCTAGCTGGACCCTCCCCTCCTTGTTCACAGCAAAATTCTAAGAGCAGCTCTGCCACAACAGTGGAGGCACCAGGGATCTGTGGGTCTTGGCAAGCTCTCCAAGAGAAAGGGGACCACAGTATCAGGGAGGGGATTCCTAGAATATTTTTGTAATGGTATTACCATGGGAGGTGAAATCTCATAGAAATGAACGACCACCTCACAGCAGGCTCACATCCACCACGACTTAGTGAGAAGACACTGCATGTGTACCTAAATCCTCCTCCTATCGCAGAACATTTATCAGGCACAAAACTCCCTGCATCAATACTATGAAAGACTTCAGTGGCATTTCCCACTACTATCACCTATGGATTCACAGCAAGAGGAAGCCTGCTCCTGCCAGGATGGAGGATGCCTAGTTCTTACAGGAAGGCAAAAATCCCAGGCAAACACTCACAGAATTTTACTTACCGGGACCAGGTGGGTATGGATGTGTACCAGTTATCAAATACTCAAGTTCTTGTCCTAAAGAGCAACAAAATTTCGTATTAACGATTACATTTTATACTGCACTGCAAATGATGCACTCAAACAGGAAATACAGCAGAACAGAGCAGGTCATACATAGCAGGAGAAACCAGCAATCACTTCTAGTGTATGACACTTGGACATTTCTTATTTTCATTAATTCCATTTGTTCTGGTTACCTCAGTTTTCTAAAACTCAAGAGTAAAGTAACGTTTTTAAAATGGTGATACCACTTGTTATCAAGAGGGACTCTCTCTCAAGAGAAAAATCTTCATAGTGCCAAAGATGCCTTCTGAAGTAGGTATCATGGAAAAGGATTCAAGTACACAAATAGCATGGGTGTCTGAAACCTAAGCTAGTCACGACAATTGATTGTGTGGTATCAGAAAAGAAAAACGTTCTTTTCTTGAAATATTTTTCATTATCTCTCAATATCTTTTACTCCCAGCATACTTCCAAATAAAGTACCTTGAAAAAAAAAATCTCAACTAAAATAAGGCAGCATTTGGCATTCTTTAGAAGTTTCTGTATGGGGTCTACCTAATACATACACATTTTATACATAACCAAAGATAGGTTGAAAAAACCCCCAGATTTAAAATAAAAGATTTTCCTTGTTTAATAGTTGCACAGCTAAAGGAAGTCTGAAAAAATTCTATGAAAAATATGAAAAAACCCCAAAACAACAAAAGAGCATGTCCCTGACCATCATGAACTTGTAAAAAGAAATACATTACTGATCTTTCTCTTTCTAGCACCTAAGTACAGCACACACTAATGTTACCATAAAAATTACTCATTTTACTAATGAGTTACTGTAAAGACTTCACAGCACCCTATTACTCCTTTGTTAAAACAAACTTTCTCCTTGTTCTGAATCACTACCTCCTGTGGACCCTAGCAAGAAAAATACCAAACAACAAAGCAACGTTTTTTTGATTTCTGTCTTTATCTCCGATGGATTAACATTGGACTGCATTCTTCAGATTTTACATCAGTGAGATTGTTACAAAAGAAAGGACAAATATACCACTAAGAGCAAACTAACCTTGATTTCCAGAATACTGTTTGTGTCCATAAGGATCCCCGGTGTTTGGGCCTCCTTTCTCTCTCAAGTTTTCTTTAAGAGTAGGCATGTGTAACACTGAGCCGTACTCTGTACGCAGCTTGACTGCCATCTTTACTTTGTGACTGTTGGAAGAGTAAAGCAATCCTGATTAAATCTGAGTTTTGAATTGTTGTTAAGTTTTGAAATACTTTAGAGAATGTTTTATACAACTAACTTTACAATTCTAACATTTTTTTCTTCCCTCAAGACTACACTGTTAACTCTACACAAACATCTGAGCTTCTGACTTGGATGGAGCAATCACTAACGTAATTTAAAACTTTGAGGCATACTAGTAACTCACCAATCGCAGTACTTACCTTTCTTCATCTAATGGGATGGGCTTGGCATTATCAGCTACAAACATATCATGGGTTCTCTTCAAAGATCTGAACACAAGTGTGTGCACAGAATGCTTTTGGACTTCCTAAAATAAAGAAAAGAATATTTAAATACATTTGGACATAATTAAACAAAAAATTCAAAGTGGAAACATAAATTGAACTGAGTAGCAATTTCAGACTTCAGTACTGTTAGATGATACAGCACTATTTAGTTCACAGAAAACACCGCTCTTCTTGGAAACTAAAAATTTAAGTTTATCTGTTAATTGTTTTAATTCAGTGTTTACTCAAAATAACACTCCCTTTCTTGGAAACTGCCAAGACTTTGAAAAGCAAGCCAAACACTTCGATCAAACTTTCTGCACTGGCATCTACATGACAAACCCATGAGCGTGCAAGCTTTTTCCCCTCATGCTTTCCAGTTCTGTTTTCATTGGTAGGCAACAGAGTAACTGATTCTGAAAACATTCCTGTAAATTTTATTTCACTACCACCATAAAAAGAAAAAGAATACTCATCAGTTTCTGTGCACAGCGTCACTTTACGTAAGCACAGCACAGTTTACCGAGATAAAACTTGGGACCAAACCTGACAAAACTTGTTTTCCTTTTATAATTTTCATTTGTTACTAAAACCAAAACATACTTAAAATTTCATTCAGGAATTAACAAGAAGCATTAAAAAGCTATTATATAGAATATTCGTTTAGCAACAGCACAATTCAGGGTTTTTTATTAATATTTTCCTCCCAATGGACAAAAAAAATCATTAGAAATCTCAGCCTGCTTGCTTAGGTACAACACCAAACTCTCTGCATGACTCTATTTGTTCTGTATGTCATACAATGACAACAAACTGGAAGCTACAGTAATAACTTTTGGCACTGGATGTCACTCAGCTGCCCAGTCTCCAAGATTCATTACACAGATGCTTTCTGTAGGTTCTGTTTTCCTGCCCTGGAAGCTGCCCACTCACCAACCCATTTTGCGATGGCTGTTACCCTCCTAACTCAGTAGCCCCTACACAAATTTTTTTGCTCTGGCTCAGTGAGCTCCTGCAAGCTCCAGGTATTAAGTGGAAAAAAAAAACAAACAACCCAGCATTTGGAAGTCAGTTAGGAATTTCATACAACTGCAGAAAGAAATAAGAATTACAGTAGCTAATTACTATTCAATAACAGCAGCTGTTGAAATCACCACACGAGTAGTAGATAACACAATGCCTCCCCAACAGAGAAGAAGCATCTACAAATATTTTTTTACAGAGATGCCGCTCTGTGAGAAACAGGTAGTAGCATTACGCGGGGCAGCAGCCTTTCATCTTCTTCCATGCTCCTGACAACAACGTTTGCTTTTGTAAGTGCACGATATTCACCCCACAGTAACTATTCCACGGCCTATAAAACCAGTGGCCTTCTCCCCAGCTGTACGTCCAAGCCCTCACAGAGAAGTCACCGGTGTCCCGACTAGCTGACAAAGCCAGCAAGTCGCCGGAGGTTGGACATCACAGCATCACCTCCCCAGCCCCCAGCACCAATTCCGTATCCGGCGCAAGTCTGGCAAAGCAAAACTGCCGCCTGCTGCTTACTCCTGCCCCAGACCCGCAGAGCCCCGTGGCCCGCACCACGGCCCCCGCGAGGCAGAGCCGCAGCCCTCAGACCGGCGAGAAACACCCCTCTCGCTTCCTGCGCGCAACTCGCTGTCCCCCGGGGCACACCGGCCAGGGGCTGGGAAGGCGGAAGCACCGCCATGGTCTATCTCCACAGCGGCGCCTTCGTACCAAGGGGGAAGCGAGGGTGGGGGGTGCGGTGCGGCGCTCGGTGGTCCGCGCACGGCTTCCCCCCCTCCCCCCCGCCCGGCTCCATCACGGGACCAATCCGCCCCGCTGACCCG